CCTTTTCACGCCTTTAGGCGCATCGGGCATATGGGAAGAGCGCCCATATTTTTTACAGACCATCAGCACTCATTCATTCAGTAGCATGTCCCTCGCGGAACCTCGCTGACATAACAACCCTCCGGAAAACCTTCCTATCCTGAGCAAGATGTCCTGCGTCTGATACACCCATCTGGAGATCATCTGCCACATCCTGCACCCATCTTCTCCTTGGCCTTCCTCTTCCTCTCTTCCCAGGCATATACCCCTCCATTATTGTTCTCTCTAGACTTCCATGACGTTTTAAGTGACCAAAATATTTCAATTTTCTTTGTTTTATTGTCTTTACTAGCCAACCCATCACCACTAGGTGGGTAATATGGTCAGCATTAGGCCGTCTTTACTTCTCCAGGACAGCCATCCTGGTACCCATTTTAGGCTGGGTCACCTGCAACGCCCCATAGCATGATAAAAATCCACACTGCCAGCAGCGGGTTTCGATCGTGTAGGTTGGAATTACGAGTAGGACTGGCAACGCCTAAGCCATCACACAATAGTGCATTAGTCGAGTTTATTCATAGACGAACACATCAGGACAATAAATTGTTGGCAAATGACTGAACACTGTCTGTCAATCAAATTCTGCTAAGTATACACACATGCGGACTCTAGAGGGAGCACCTAGCCTTGAGTTGATGTGAATACAATACACAAGACGCATTCAGCATATGGGCCCACTCCTGGGCCCACCAGTAGCCTATAATTGACACATTTGGCTACGTACCCACTCCTGGGGTCACATATAGCCAATATCGCGGTGTAAGTCAGGCTGCCTGTGGGAAAGCAGATGAAGAGTACTGCTATTAAAAGGCCCACAAGCTTGTATAAAAAGCCAATGGCTGGGAAAACACTGAATGACACAGATTACCCATTTCTGGCTGCAAATTTCAGGATTATTTGGGTGACAAGTGTTTCCTATTTCTGTCAGACCTGTGCAATACAAACTTTTGTCATGAAAATAATTCTAAAATATCTGGTTCAATACAGCCACATGCGAATGACAGCAGACACATGTTGATTTCAACAGTGGTTCACAGCACCAGTTGTTTAGACAGCAATGGCAGAATACAGAATATAAATTGCTTAGTGAGACTAAAAACCACCAACAAATGCTGGAGTCAGTTTGCAACATCCTATAAAAGATAGGTAACTTACTCGCTACAGGACATCTTGAACTCATCCTCACTCCATTAATGTGGGGGATTATTATTGCACACTTAAACAAGGCTTAAGCTTTCCAACTTCCTAAAATATTTAAGGGGATTAAGACACCCTCCCCCTAGAGAGATGATTATTGATGGGCTGAAAAGATGGCATGGAGGGATATCATCAAGAGAGCTGTTCCATGGATCATGATCTAGGGAGACGCATGAGCGCCTACGACAGGTCACGCGATGATGATGTAGGGGGCTTAATTATTATTAGTCCCCGGTTAGCATGCAGCTTTGATTTTTTCAAGCCTTTGTAATTTGTATTAGCTAGAGAATAAACTAAATGTTGAGTATATTTCATGAGTTAGAATAGAATTTATCCTCTATTTTTTACAATGGATGCAAATATTTTAATGGAATGCTCATGTTTGACAGTCTGTTGATGTTGGAAGAGACTGAGCATCCGTGAACGCGGTATGAAGATGGTGAGATCAGTTGTAGGCAGTAGGGACTACATCATTTGAAGAAAATATGCATCATTTTTTTTTTCTATTTGTCTTCTCATTGATATCATGTTGTAGCCCAGTGTGGTAGTTTATTTGTCTTGTGCTTCCCGGGTGGCTTGGGTGGTGGATTTGTTCATCTTTTTTACAGGTTGCAGCTACATCATTTATATTTGTCTTTCTTGGTGTTACCCTGATGTTTTGTTGTAAAAAGTATCAAATCCAGTTTGGTACATGCCATTCATTATGTGAATATTTCCAACAGGAAACGTGTGTAGGTGGAGACAGTGGACACCACATGGGCGGCAGGGGGCAAGGCTGACATTAGCAGTGACACCGCTGCTGCTGCTATCGACACTACTGACGGTGACAAGAAGTCTAGGGCAAGAATAAACAAGGCAAAAAGGCAGCCAATAAGGCTCAGAAGTCACAGCAAGAAGAAACTAACACTGAGAATAGATAATAGATTTTCTTTCGTTTGTGGCATCACCTGTTATTCATATATTCTCAGCTGGCAGATTGCTGTCTTAGTTACAGTTCCTGTATAAATCTTTGTATTTACTGGCTGGTAACACGTACTTGTTTTTATTTCTTGACTGAGTATTTCAGGCTCAATAACTGTTTCATCTTTAAAAATTTGTTGTGATGCTGGATTTGTACAGTTCTTGAAAATGTTTCTTTTCATCTTTCTGCATCTTCTGTGGAGCTTGGCTGTTCTGTTTCTGTTATAATTATTTTAAATATTGTCTGGTTATAGCTGACATCTCTAACACACACTGAGTTAACACTTTTGAAAACATCTCATGGGTTTTGTGTCAACGGATTTGTATCTTGTTCTTAGTGTTTGCACTACACTGCTCTTTGTGTTTGCACTACACTCTTCTTCTTCTGTGTGTTCACCAGCTGTAAACTCTGGCGGAAGGTTCTGGTTGTTTGTTCATTTCTGGACTGCACACCTGTTCCATAACCTGAGATGCATGCGCATCTATTTCACAGATTTGGCTCATTTTTATGCAGACTGTTGGTTCCTTGCCTCTCAGGCTGATGCACTTTGACTTCAATGGAAACTCTCAGTTAGTCAACTCTTACGACATGCTTTTGGGTTTGTTCTTGTTTTACCAATAACAGTGCCCCAGGACCTACACGGGGATGCATTAGATTGTTTTTGCACCAAGATTTATATATTTTTTTTACTGTATGCTTAACATTTATTCAAGCTGTTTGGTGGTCTTTTGACTTTTGGATATTAAGCATATTTTAAACATCAGGGGTATCTGTGGTGAAGTGGTGCAGCCATTTACCTTGTGCACTGAAGCTTGTAGGTTTGCCATTCAGTTCAAGGGTGCATTTTCTATAAAAATTCCTGGGAATCGTCACAGGAGCTTTGAAGTTTGTGCTCTGTTCGATGCTCTCAGCAGGCGGCTAGCCATTCTGAGCCATAGGGGGTAAAACTCGGTGCAATGAAGTTGATCCTCTTGAGTTTGACCTTTAACCTTTTATTGATTACTTATTTTAAACATTGATCACATTTCCTCTTCTTCATTGCTTTTACATATTTCGCATTACATATACGATGCCCATCCATTGTTCACATTGTGCTGTATTAACTAGTTCTTGCACTAAAATCTCTCTTGATGATCACTTCATCTTGACTGATTCTGTTTATAATGGCAGACATGTATTCTGGAAAATTCTCGATTTATAAAGTTCCTGGAATATTGTTCTGGGAACTACTGATGTTGCATAGTGCAGAGTTCACCATATTTCCTCTGAATGCAGTAGTAACGATTTGGCATTTAAACAAATTCTAAATTTTGCATTAGTTTAAATTTCTTCAGACATCCAAAGCCTAAAAGAGCATACTGAATAAGTACATGCACACACTAAAACTAACACATCTGGAAAATTGTCTTGTAGGTTCGTTTTTTTAATTTTCTTCTTAAGTTTGAAATTTTTATTAGGCAGAGGCCTACTAGTTACAGCTTCCATCTGCATATACATTTTTGGGACTTATCTAAGAAGACTAAAATAATTTCCAGTAGCTAGATATGGGATGTCATTTAATGGTGTGGTGTATGACAGTCACGGCTCAATGGATGGCATGGTGTTTGACATTCATGGCTCAATGGATGGTATGGTGTTTGATAGTCATGGCCCAATGGGTGGTATATTGTTTGATAGTCATAGCTCAATGGATGGTATGGTGTTTGATAGTCATAGCTCAATGGATGGTATGGTGTTTGATAGTCATAGCTCAATGGATGGTATGGTGTTTGATAGTCATGGCCCAATTGATGGTATGGTGTTTGACATTCATGGCTCAATGGATGGTATATTGTTTGATAGTCATGGCTCAATGGATGGTATGGTGTTTGACATTCATGGCTCAATGGATGGTATGGTGTTTGTTAGTCATGGCTCAATGGATGGTATATTGTTTGACATTCATGGCTCAATAGATGGTATATTGTTTGACAGTCATGACTTAATAGATGGTATACTATTTGACAGTCATGGCTCAATAGATGGTATACTGTTTGACAGTCATGGCTCAATAGATGGTATATTGTTTGACAGTCATGGCTCGGTAGATGGTACACTGTTCAACAGTCATGGCTCAATAGGTGGTATATTGTTTGATAGACGCGATGTGGCTCAGTTGATGGTATATTGTTTGACAGTCATGGCTCAATAGATGGTATATTGTTTGACAGTCATGGCTCAATAGATGGTATATTGTTTGACAGTCATGGCTCAATAGATGGTATATTGTTTGACAGTCATGGCTCAGTTGATGGTATATTGTTTGACAGTCATGGCTCAATAGATGGTATATTGTTTGACAGTCATGGCTCAGTTGATGGTATACTGTTTGACAGTCATGGCTCAATAGATGGTATATTGTTTGACAGTCATGGCTCAATAGATGGTATATTGTTTGACAGTCATGGCTCGGTAGATGGCATATTGTCTGACGGTCACAGTACAGTGGATGGTATGTTCTTTGACAGCCAGTGATCACGGGATCGTATGTTGCTTGATAAACACTGGTATAAGAATGAATTGTTTTGAGTACATTTTGGTTACTATGCATTGATAATCTGATAATCACAGATCCATATGTCATAAATATTGTTTAGCTAACCAACAAATATGCTACTTAGCACTCATTGATACAGAAAGGAAATGTTGTTTGACATACGATGAATTAAACATAGAAAATATTCATGTCAGTACGCACACACGATTCACTTTTCCTGTCAAATAACGACAAGCTGCATGCAAGAGCTCCCCCACCTGGACAGCATTAATACGTCTTGGATTTCTTCACATTCATTTCTAGGATAGACTCGATAAATGTTGCTAGAAGCTCCTTCATTGAGGGCACGTCAAGAGCACAGCAGACGTGTATGTACAGTTGCTTGTTCTCCGGCTTGTTCTGGCGAAATTGTTCTTTGATGTATTTCAAACTTGCTTCCACATTCTGGGAACCTACAATGGGCAAAGGATAAGTGTCAAGCCGTAAACATTTGCAGGATAAATCCTTCGGATATGTTGGATATGCACAAACAGAAAAATAAAACTAATTGCGTTATTTTATGTTTTAAACAAGCGTTGGATTACTTTTAGTTTTAGCCAGGCTTACACTTAGTCAGCTGGTACTGTTGTCCGCGATGATGATGGTGATTGTAATCTTAATAAATCTGCTAATTAGGATGATAATAATGATTATGCTATTCATGCAGTTGCTGTTGATTGTGATAATGATGATGACGAACACGATTATGACGATGACGCTGACGGTAATTATGATAATGGTGATATATTGAAACGATAATGGTTAAACGTCACCTTTATTATTATTATTAAGTTCCTCCCCGTGTGCGTTTTGAGTCTCCGTGGTGGGGAAAACAAGAATAGACCCACTGCTTCCCCAGAAGCATGTTGTAAAAGTTAACTAATTGGGGGAGGGGGCCTTCCTTTGCAGTAGGACTGGATCTGCCTGAAAGGCAAGGAACCAGTTAGTTAATTTCAGATAGGCTAGATCTGTAATAGGGATGTGCACACGGGACTTAGGTTTTCGAGCAAGAGACTAAGGTCTAGAGTTGCACGAACAACCAGAACTTTCCGCCGGAGTTTACCGCCGGTGAATACAAAAAAAGAAGTATAAGATCAAGTCTCCTGGATGTCTTTAGAACTTGAAGAACTTTAATCAAATCTTGTGCTGGCACAATTTCTTGAAAAAGACAGGATGTTAAGAATCTTTTCTGATTGTCTCTATTTCCTTTAATCTTACAAGCTGTGACAGAATATTCCCATGTTCTCAGAACATGACGAAAATATATAGACTTTTACCTTCCTCACTCTCTATCTCTCTCTCTCTCTTCCCCTCTTTTTACCCACTCTCTTCCCTCTCTCCTCCTTTCTCTCTTCCCCCTCACACTCTTCCTCCGTACTCTCCCCTCTTTTGTCTCTTACCTCTCTCTTCCTCCTCTCCTCTCTCTTCCTCCTCTCCTCTCTCTTCCTCCTCACTCTCCCCTTTTTCTCTCTTCACTTGTCTCTTCAACTCTCTCTTCCTCCTTACTCTCTTCCCCCCTCCCCCCCCCCTTCTCTCTCTTTTCCCTCTCTCTTCTCCCTCTTTTTTCTTCCCCTCTTTTTACCCCATATCTTCTCTCTCTCTCTTTCCACCCTTTCTCTCTTCCTCCTTACTCTCCCCTTTTCTCTCTTTCCCCCTCTCTCTTCCTCCTCTCTCTCTCCCATTCTCCTTTCTCCCTCTCTCTTCCCCCATCTCTTTTTCTCCGTCTCTGTTCCCCTCTTTCTTCCCTCTCTTCTCCTGTCTCTCTTTCCCTGTCTCTCCCTCTCTGTCTCTGTGTGAGTGTGTATATATATATATATACACACACACAAATATGAAGTTTGTGATAAGTTTCCTTGTCCGTTATCCTCAATTAAACCACTTAGATAACTGTTATTATATACACGGATAATGAGAGGCACGAGAATCGACGTCACTACTTCCAGTTTTATCACACACGCCTCTGACTAACGGCTGGTTGCCCATGAGAACTCACTAAATTCAGCATCGATCCACAGGGGTCTCCGAAACACGATTATTAGCGAATCGAAAGACGCAATCCAAATAGAAGCTGTCGCTTTTCAAGCATGAAGTAAACGGCTGAACTTCTTCTTTGACGAAAGCCTAGGAACATATAGAAAACAAACCCACGTGGGTTCAGGGGCCCCATTGCGGGAATAGCAAGAATAGACCCACTGACTCCCCAACAAGCATATTGTAGGAGTAGACTAATTTAGGGTTTCCTTTAAAGTCGGAGTGCATCTGCCTGAGAGACAAGGAACCAGCAGTCTGCATACAAATAAGCCAGATCTATAAAACATCACTCAGCTTCTGGAACAAGTCTAAAGGCCAGAGGTGGATAAGTAACCAGAACTTTCCGCCGTAGCTCACAGTAGTTAAACGTGAAGAAGAAGAAGACATAGAAAACATAGAGACACGGGTACTACCAACCAGTGTATTCTGGAAAGCATGTCGATATCGAAGAAGATTTCAGTTTGCTGACAAACAGGTCCTTCTTGTTGAGAAACAGGATGAAGTCAGTTCTGTCCAGATAGTGGCTGTGAATGACTTCATTAAACGCCAGCAAGCTGTCTTGGAGACTGTTCTGTTGGAGTATAAAGATTCGCGGATTAATAACTGATTGGCACCTTTCCAGACGATAGTGTTTTATTGCGCTAAAAGAAGGCACGGAACTCGCGACCAATGGCGATGAGTGTGTATGCTAGTGCATATGTTAGACAGCAGTATGTCAATCTTTCCACTAGGGGCTGGGATAAATATTCTGTGTGTTTTTCTTTGGCACAGGAGCGGAGCAACTATGGGGTGACCCGTTTGCTACGAAGCTGAAACTAAGATTACCAGAACAGAAAGAGTAAAATAAAGTAACGGGTCAATCTCCGGACTTGTAGCCTATTTAGCATATGGGGCTACACTCGAATGTATCCTCATAGAAGGATCTTCTTCTCTTCTGTACGTCTTTTATCGCTTCGTGTGTCGAGGGAGATAAAAGTCCTGCTCTATACTCTTCTGGCTACTTCGACCCTAGACAGGTCATGGCGCTGTAGAGTTTATCTGATGTTATCCTCCCATCTTATTCAACTTTTTTTTAGCTTCACCTGGAAATTTTTTTTAAAAATTGTTAAGAATCGACATCATAGGACACCAGGCATACACATCGATACTCCATCTCCCGCAGCAAAGGCCTTAAGGTGTAGATGCTAACTGTTTCTGTTGGACACTGCTCGTACACACGACGTTTTCTTCCTCTGACAGGCGGATACTGGGTCATAACAAATGTCGATGAAGGGCCCGCCTAGTGCTGAATGGAAGACTGCTGCTGTGCGCGCTCCTGCTAGGGTGTTCTACTTACTGTAAATACCATTCGGCTGGATGTGTAATGTGGTCAGTGTTACATCGGCCAGCTTTACTTTCCAGGCAGTTGAGTGACAATGAACAACCAACTGCAGACAAATAAGTCAGTAAAACATGTGTACACGCAAAACTCTGGTCCTGGCTCTAAGCCAAAGTCCTGACTAATGGACGAAAAACCAGGACTTTTTGCCGGAGCTTACAGCAGGTGAACAAAGAAGAAGAAGAGGAGGAGGAGGAAGAAGAAGAAGACGGGTGCTATGCTCTTAATTCAGAGTGCCAGAGTGTACACAAATTAAACTGATTTCTGTTAGACAAGATTTCATCAGAGACTCCAACCATTGTCTTCGAAGCCCCACTTCCTCCGTCTTCTTGAGCATGTCTTGGAATCAGTTAGAAAGCAGCCATGAGGTAAAATATGTGTCACTAGCTAGTAAATTGCCGTTATTACCTAAACCTCCATATTCAGACTACTTGTAATAAAGGCAAAAGCACTGCTATCTTCCTGTGGAGGTTTTCAATCCAACAAGAACCACCAAAACCTATTAGCATTGCATACATCCAACGTCGTTCCTCGGTGTGAATAATCACACCTCTATCAGCAAAATTCATCAATACGATATATGTATTAAAAATAACTGCACTAGAATAGATAATGGGCTATGGAAAAGCATGACGTCGAAAATAAAAAATTCCATACCATGATTCAAAATCCGACTCTTCAACGTGTAGAATCATTTTAGGTAAATTTAGAGGAGTCTTCCACGTTCATACACAAAATGTGGCATTCTTCTTCTTCTGCCTTTCTATCCCCAATGGAGCATAGGCCCTCAACCAACTCACGCCAAGTCGTTCTATCCTTTGCCATTGCATGGAGCTCTCCCCATGTCCTCCCCATCTTTCTAACTTCATTCTCCAGTTCTCTTCTCCATGTGTTTTTTGGGCCTTCCTTTATTCCTATGCCCCTGTGGGTTCCAATGCAAAGACATTCTAGTTATGCTGTTCTCCTGTTTTCTCAGTGTGTGTCCTAACCAACGCAAGCGTCTTTTCCTCACCTCTTGGTCCACTGAAGCCTGTTTAGTTTTCTCCCAAAGCTCTACATTAGTTATTCTAGCATACCATTTAATTCCCTCTATTCTGCACAGGCACCAGTTAAAAATGTGCCATTTCCTCTATTTACAATGTGATACGCAGTGCATCGACACTGTCTCTGTACAGGGACCGCGGTAGAGTAGTGGCTAGTCGCTTGCTCACCTACCCTGAGGTGTTGGGCTTGAAACCGCACGGAAACATTTTAGTTTCTAGTAAATGTTTCTGGCTCCCAGGTAGACTCAGCGTACACAGCGTTACGGTCCGATATATTTGTAATTGTTTTTGTGTTCGTTATTCGACCTACGATTGGTTAATATAATTTCTGTAACCTATGGTGCCATTTCAATGGTTTCAGATGAATTCTGTCCGTATTCCATAGTTGTGCTATAAACATGGCAAATGAAGACACCTTTTTTTAGGGGTACCTAGTTGGCCATGTTCTTAGTACACATGTTTCCATAGCGAGGCGCACACGTCGTTTGGAGGTGACAGGTTTGATTCCCGGCATGGTAACTTTAGCTTTCGATTTTTATGTTGTCTGGTGTGACCTTCTATCTTTCTGCTTTTTTCTATGAGTGCCGATCGAGACATTATTTTTTGTTTATTATATCTTTAATTTGGGTTCCAGAAAAGTCGTGGGAAGTAAAGGTCACCTGCGTGGTATTGAAAACATCGCCGTCCAATCACTTTGTGTGTTGTGTTGTGTGTGTGTGTGAGAGAGCTAATTCTTGCTTAGCGCCATGTGAGGCACTAGTTAAAAGGGTTTTTTACCTAACATAATATGGCTGGCTTACCAGTTATTATTGTTATTTAATGGCTTCACTCTTCATAACCTATTACTTAAAACTATGTGCGCGTATTTCTAACGTATGTCCTTTTGAAACAAGACATCTCTCTCTCTCTCTCTTTCTCATTTTGCTTGTACTAAAGAAGGCGCAAACAGTAACAGTGTTCTGACCATTGTTGGATCCATCTCCAGAAACTCGTCAAATACTGCCAGGGAAACGAAGAAAGACACTGCCGTCACTTCGTCGAAAAAGTGAATCCACTTCTTTCGCAGACTTCTCTGACCTGCCACGTCTATCAGCCTGGAAAGGGAAAGGTACTCATGACAAAAAGTTTCTACAACCAGGGAAGATGAGATAAGAACTAATCAGAACAATGCTAACGAAATTTAGAATCAAATTTGCTGTTGCAAGATGGGCAGGAACGTAGAAGATAACGGCTACTGTCATAGAGTATTGCCAAATACAAACACACTCTCTCACACACACGGTACTCTCACACACACGGTACTCTCTCACACACACGATACTCTCTCACACACACGATACTCTCTCACACACACGGTACTCTCTCACACACACGGTACTCTCTCACACACACGATACTCTCTCACACACACGGTACTCTCTCACACACACGGTACTCTCTCACACACACGGTACTCTCTCACACACTGACACGATGGGAAAGGTTGAGAAAAAAGAGAGATGGAGAGTTCCCATGAACCTTTTTAAAACATGGGTCATGCTTAACTGAGCATGGTAATATATTCTACCAGAGGCTTTTATATACGTTTCTGCTGCTTTGTTAGTTGCGTTGAAACCAATTTTTTCTTTAAAAAATGTTGCCTGCCTGTGATCATAGTTAACTTGACATTTTGTAATGAAGTGTCCACCTCTTAACTATGATTCGCATCCATACATCAGATGTTCATCTAAATAGTTCTTCTACTGCGAGAAGATTTGATTGATTAATATACACTGCAGTTTCAGCATAATTAGAAAACTGCGCTGTATATCAAACTTTAAAAATCTGTGGTCCCCAAACCAAACACTTTTTCAGCCTCTTCCAGCAAGGCGTCTGAGATTTAATCAGCCGATTACTACTTTCAATATTTAAGTTGCCAAGAATGCATTCTGGCACATTGCACATTTCCAGCCAGTCAATTCTTCAAGTATCTAGAAGTGTGCTCAGTCTTGTAATGGAAGCCTGAATGAGCACGTGCTATCTTCTGTCCTTATATACAGGATACCTTAACAAACTCACACCAGACCGTCTCATTTCAAATATACAAGAACTGATGTACCCTCATATAAAGAAGCAGAGAGATAAGAGGATACACTAGACAATAAAAAAATCGAATGCTGCAGTTTCCCTGCTGGGAATCAAATCTGTCACCGCCAAGTTACAAAAGAACATCACTGCAGAAGCAAGTGTACTAATAAGCATTGCCACTTCACACCCATAACAATGTATTATCACAAGCCAGGTATTTGATACAGCTTGAATCCACAACTCTGGAATACGGACAGATTTCATTTTAAACCATTGAAATAGCATCATAGGTTATATAAATTTAAAAAAAACCAAGCACAGGACGGATTACACACAAACACCAGATCACGATGCTGTGTCTAGCCTATAACGAACCTTTCAAGAAGAAAATGTTTGTTCGGTTCCACAGTGATGCATGCAATGCTAGTTGACTTGTGTCGTTGAAGCTTTGTACATAACATGGCAGCCAACCCAAAGACAACCCCTCCTTACTCGCTTCTTACAGTCTTCACATTAGCTTCAAGAGTAACTGCTAACTGCAACCGTTTTGGGGATCAGTCACACATTGGCGGACAGGTACACATACCTATAGAGCAAGCTGTCCACAAGAAACTTGTGCTCTTCAACGCCAAGAGTAGGCCATCTGATGTATAAAATATCTTGCACGCTGGGCAGGTAATCTTCGCTGCAAATACGGCCTATGTGAAGCAGAAAGCTAAACAGGAAAGAAACCACGAGAATGCAGTTAATTCTTGAACTTAGCCAAGTGGTGTTTTCACATGTAGGCTGCAGTGGATTTCCAACCATGACCTATTTAGATTTCTAAGACATCGATTGCCTTACTGAAAGTTGATTTTGTTCGTATCGTTAGCCTGGCGTGGTGTAACGTCATCAGTTACTGGGTGCATCTACACTAGGTCCAACACTCGCTGTCTAATGTCCTGGTTGTACACTCGCTCATACAGACATTCGTATATCTCGTTTATCGCTGTCCACCCCCTACTCGCCCGATCCCCACCACCCTTTTTTTCTTCTTCTCTCCCCCCCCCTCCCCTCGAGTATGGCTTTTATAAGAGTAGTATCTCTGTTAATTATTATTTATTTTATTTTTTGTTCACCGACTGTGAACTCCAGTAGAAAGTTCTGGTTGTTCGTCAGCTTTTAGATATTAATCTTGTTTCAGAACTTGAGTTTAACGTGAACATTCGTTTTACAGATCTGGCTCATTTGTTTGCAGACTGTTGGCTCATTGTATCCCTCAGGCAGATGAACTCTGACTTCGAAGGAAACACCCCTAATTAGTCGACTTTTACGACATCCTTGTGGGGGGTGGGGGTGGGGGGGGGGGAAGGGGGCAGGGGTGAGTATATTCGTTTGTCTTCTCTACAATGGAGTCCCTGAACACACACAGGGATCCATTGACATGACTAGTATATTTTGTCTGCTTTTTTTTATTTTAACTTCTTCTTTATTCCCAGTCTTTCCCGAAAATGTTTTTGCTTTGTTTGTTTTTCCCCCATGAAACATGACTATTCTCTACCGTATATAGACACCGCTTTATTGCATTCTTTTGTGAATTAAACACATTATAATATTCTACACATACATTAACTGGCGACGGTATATTTGATTTTATTTTGATTTGATTCAAGAACCAACACCACATCACTCGGGGGCACTCCTATAAGCGCTCCATCCCCATCTTCAGCAGCCAGCGAAAAGTTCCGATACTAATAGTGCCAGTAGCTGGCGACGGTAGAGAGGGAACGAAACGATGTGATAACGATTACTACACTAAAGAGGAGCTACAGGGCAGCACTAAACCAGTTCAGTGAATAAAGCGATGAAGAAGGGAAGCTACAGTTCGATACGGCGCTCACCGAGGAGAAAACCTGAAAATAATGTACTCTTTAAAAACGAAAGAAAGAAACGCAGTTATCCGTTGGCTTGTTTTTATTTAGTTGAAGGGAAAGCCCGTACACCTAAAGACTATCGATGAGTCAGACGCAAAAGAATTATCAAAACACTATGTGATAGTAAGGGACCCTTTTCCAGTCCTTCAGGCGTATTGTGCGAATAGGGCTAAATCTCTATTTTATAGACCAGTCAACACAATATGGGTGATTCGGTCAGCACCACACTGGCTGCCTTTACTTTACAGGACTGTTCCTGAAACCCACTCAAGGCTAGGTTGACCTGGGGGGAACCAATGTCATTATTTTTAAAGTGCGGCTACATCAGAAGCCGAACCCATGGCCTTCCGATCCGCAGGCGAGCGACTAAACGCTACACTCTAAACTACATATGGAGAACATAATTAGACTGTAGTAGTTAAGATGGGGAGGGCATGGAAGGAGTTGCACACGATGTGGTGCGAGTTGATTGCGGGTCTATACTCCATGAGATTAAAGGGCAGGTAGAGAAGTTTGAAAAACATTACTAAAACTTACTATTCAGCATTAGGCGCTAGCTTGTCAGTTTCAAATTTGTGCCTCTTTTCAAAACACATTTGAATGGCCGGATCTGCCCACAGTGTATGCATGTCGTCTATGTTTGGCACCTCGGGATTGTAGACATCAAGCGATGACATGCGTTTCGTTAACTCGGCTCTAGTAGTTGCTAGACAAAGAAGCAAACAATAGTTACGAACCAAACTGTCATTTTAGCTTTTTTCGCTTATTGCTGATGTTTACAGATGATGTAAAGACAACATTTTAGAAGAAGCAACTATTAGAGTAGGACTAAAATACATGATAGAAACTTAGATGAGCGAGGACACATTGCAGTCTATTCAGGAGATAGAAACACACATGGCTATATATGTAATGCTAAATCAACGCGAAGAAGGCAGAACTGAAGAAAAATTACGCCAAGAACGATACACAAATAAAGCGTTGTGCAGGGTGAGATAAAAGAGCGTATGTTGATAGACTAGCTAAAGAAGTACAGCAGCCAGTTAAAAGTGGAAATAGCAAAATACTATATAATACACTAAAATATGTGTTAACTAGTACTTTCATACTGAGGGGTGGTCTCATTAACAGTAAGGATGGCACAGTGCATACATTTGACACTGAGCAAAAAAAAAAAAAAAAGATGGCAAACACTCCCAAAAGACTTTAAATAGGCCTAGTTACGATAATCAACACATTTTGATGAGGAGATTAAAAATGACCATATTACCAATAAATATAGGACAGATGGATTCGAACTCAAGACACAGACCTGCGCTACCACGCCTCCCTATCCAGCATATACTGTATAAAACTATTTTCCTTTAGAACAGCAGTCTCCAACCCTTTTCAGGTTTTGCCCTCTTGAGTATATGACAAAAACCTTCTCACCCTCCCCGTCCTCTTTCATTGCTTAAGAAAATGTGGCTAAAAAGAGGACAATAGATTCCGCAACGACAGAAACAGACAGTATGGAGATACATTTTGGTCAGAATATGTTCTTAGTCAATAACTATCCGTGTTATCATATTAATTAGATTTTTAACTGTATAAATACTAACTGCTTATGTAACCAAAACAATGTCCTTGGGTGTTTGTTTTATAGACAGCTTGTTAAAAAAAAAAAAGTCTTATCATTTAATTTATAGTTACACTAAACACAAAAGTAATATAACGGATTATTACTAAACATGCACTCAATTTCAATATTGCTTAATGCCCCCTTGAAACCTATCCTCGCGCTCCACCCCCCTAGCCCCCCCACCCCCCACCCCCCACCCGCTGAAGACCATTGCTTTAGAAAGAAAAAAAGCTTACCTGGGCATATTCTTTCAGCCTTCTCGTCTGCCTCCTTGAACTTTTTAAAAAGAGTAACGTAAGAGACCCTGGGGTGCTTCTTCCTAAACTTGGTCGCTAATTGCTGTACCGGAAGCGAAAAAAAAAAAAAACAATGTCAGTTCTCACAAAAGCATGATAACAACAGCTGAAATCGATTACTATTTGTGGAAGATGGGCGGGACGACGTGTACATCAGATAACACAAGTAAGTGGCGTGATTTATGCATTTCAGTTCAATAGTTCCCTTGAGGTTGCTTTCTTCGTCTTCTTCTTGTTCTTCTTGTTCTCCTTCTTCTTCTTCTTCTTCTTCTTCTTCTTCTTCTTCTTCTTCTTCTTCTTCTTCTTCTTCTTCTTCTTCTTCTTCTTCTTCTTCTTCTTCTTCTTCTTCTTCTTCTTCTTCTTCTTCTTCTTCTTCTTCTTCTTCTTCTTCTTCTTCTTCTTCTTCTTCTTCCTATTCTCCTTCTTCTTCTTCTTCTACTTCTGCGACGACTGCTGCTGCTGTTGTTGCTTCTTCCTCTTCTTCTGTTCTCTTCCTCACCTTGCTCCTAATTTTTTTTTCTCTTCTTCCTCCTCCTTCTTGCGATTTACAGTTAGACTGTCATATATATATCTTCGGACCAAAACATTTGATTTCAGTAAACACATAATTAGTTGCCTTTTACGATATGTGTCCTAATGGACAGTAGGTATAGTCTCCACCCCCACCCCACCCCTTAAATAGGGACCCGGATCCCATACGAGGATCAGTGTTAATTCGAACGTCTTTGTGTCCTGTGCAATTTTTTTAATATCGTGAACAAAATACAGTCTGGTTTCTTTGGCCTCTCTTACTACCGTTCGTCATTAGAGTTTTCTTTAGACGTTCTGGCCTCCTTTGTTCATTTGTTTCCAACTATAGTGACTGTTTAGTAATTATGTACCTATTTTTCCTCATGATGTCAATGGTTGTGGATACATTGTGTGTGTGTAAACGTGCATGTAGGACTGTGTGCGTGTAGGTCTGTGTGCGTGAGTATGTGTTTATGCTGTGATAAAAAACTTTTTCCGCCTCCAACCTTAAGTTTATAATAAATTTGATAAGCATCTTAAATTTGTAAAATCAAAAAAATTTGGACAGACTTCAAGCAAGTTGAAATGTTTAAGCATTTGGACACCCTGATAACTTAGAATTGATTTATTAAAGAAGTTAAATGTAGAATAATAGCTCAAGCAAAAGCAGCTTTTATTTAAAAAAAAATGAAGAATATTTGATGCCAACTTTCTTTTCAAATAAAACGAGAAAGAGAATTCTTAATATCTATATACATCCTATCGCGATATACGGAAATAATCATGGACAGTTGGTAAATTAGTGAAAACTTTTTTGGAAGCTGCGTTGATGTAGTTTTATAGACGAATGGGGAGAATACATAGGACAGATTTAAAAAAAAAAAAATAGTAATGAGACGGCTTGAAAGAAACTGACTCATGAGAACTGAGTGCCCACATCAGGAGGAGACAATCTACATTCTTTAGTCATGTGATCAGAAGGATAAGTCTGGAATACATCGTGACAGTAGGAACGCTGGAGGGAAAGAGAGAGAGGCAGGGGGAGACCGAGAGAAAAGATGCTGGGTGGTTTGACATCACGGCATAGGGGATCATCTATGTCAGAGTTGTTTGAAAGTACACGAGATAGAAGGTTGGGGATTGACAAGACTATAAACGCCACACAGCATGGATTCTTAAGAAGGAGAAAAGAATGAAATGAAAACTGAAATTCTCTCTCTCTCTCTCTCTCTCTCTCTCTCTCTCTCTCTCTCTCTCTCTCTCGCTTCCCCCCCCTCTCTCTCTCTCTCTCTCTCTCTCTCTCTCTCTCTCAGACACACACACCCACACACCTGCGCGAAAACTGAAAAAGGTCAGACAATCACACAGATATAAAAGAAAAAAAAAAAAAGGTAAAGTCGGGAGATGTGAACCAGCGTCATTGCACACGGTTACAAACCATAAGTGCTCTGCCACCAGTACGGACAGTTGATAAGAATTGTCGGCCTGTGTCGCCGTTCACACGTAACTCTGTAGCTACAGCAACGTTCCTCCATTTACCCCAGAGTCTTAACTCTGGTACCCGTTTCCTAGAGGCTGGGTGAACCCCGGGAACCGCCCGGTTTCGAACACCAAACGTGGGCTGTAGCGAGTCGCAGCTAGATTTGAAAGCGAGCCTCTTATCGAGTGCCCTAACGTGGCCCCGAAAATGCACTCGACTCTGAGGGGACTCGAGCCCAGTCTCCTGCTCCGGAGGCCGACGCCTTATCCATTAGGCCACAGAGCCCTTACACAGATACACTTGCATGAGACACCGGCAACCATATTAAAAGTAGAGGAAAACAAAAACCTGGATCTGTGGCGAAGCGAACTTGAGACCCATACGATCCATTTGTTCGATTAAATGTACAAGTCCCGTGGCCACATTCTGAAGAATTTGTTCATGGAAACTGCGTCGTTCGCTTGGCGGGAACTGGTCGCCGTAATGGAGGCGGAACTGTTTGATAAAGGTGCTCTTGCCGGCTCCCGGGCTACCTACGGACAGAAATTACAGATAAACAGTGGAATATTTGTTTGTTTGTTTATACAACGGATCAATATCATGGCACAAGGGTGGTAACCCATAATTGCTGCGTTCTACTTCTAACTCAAGCCTGAGTCCGAAAAGTCTCAGCGCAGTGCACGAGCTCTGTAGCACCGGCGAGGATCCTGAAATACTTTGGGTAGATTTCTAACACGACCGGGCTCCAACTTTTTGTACATATTAAGGAGAAGGCGGTGATTTCTAACTCCAATTGTTGCCCGGGCAGCACCGTTAGGCTATTTTTTTTCTCGATTTTCAACTGCTATGAAATTTGTTAAGTGCGCAACAACACACACGGGCGTCCGCTTAAACTACCCAGAGACCAGAGGGGAAAATTACTAAAAGTCATGTGGAAAAATCCTAGCCTTCACCGGGACTTGAACCAGAGACCTCCAGCAATCGAGGCGGACGCAGACATAACGAAAACACTAGGCGGGGGGGGGTGGGGGGGGGGGGGGGGGGGGGGGGGGGGGGGGGGGGTTCTTGGCACATTTTCCAAAGGCGGGAGAGGGGTGGCTCAATGGGTCTAAGCTTTGCTTAAGTGCTTTCACAATCAAGTCCCTGCCTTGTCGATGCTTTGTCGACTGGCGTAGGCAATCATGCCTCTCCACATTCAGCGATGTTCAACTACATGTATCAGTTCTTGTGTTAACATGGCTTCTCACCCACCCCCTCCCCCCCCCCCCGCCTTGCCAAGAAAAAAAAAGGCTGTCAAGAATCTTCTCGCTTTGTCTTCCATTGTTTCAACAAATCCTTACAATGCACACAGTGTTTCAACAGATCCTTACAATGCACACAGTGTTTCAACAGATCCTTACAATGCACACAGTGTTTCAACAGATCCTTACAATGCACACAGTGTTTCAACAGATCCTTACAATGCACACAGTGTTTCAACAGATCCTTACAATGCACACAGTGTTTCAACAGATCCTTACAATGCACACAGTGTTTCAACAGATCCTTACAATGCACACAGTGTTTCAACAGATCCTTACAATGCACACAGTGGTCACAGCATGTTCCATTTTCCCTTTTTTTTTCAAAATGTGACAAAAAGTGTGTGTGTGTGTGCGCGCGCGTACACACACATACACCCACATACACAAACACACACATATATATATATACACCTATACGAACAAGCGCAAACATGATTTCGCTCATTCAGATGCAACCTTAAGTTTTAGATGAATACCAGTTTGCGAATCTAAATGTTTCCTAAAATTCCACATGTCAAGCCTATGGACCAATATTAAATACTAGAAACAGATTTAAATATGGAGGAGCCGACTGTAAAATACAGATAACCGAATCGACCAAACAATCACTTGCAAGCACAGACCATGATGTAAGGGGGATCGTTTAGCTTTTTAGTTGCAGCCAAGCTCATGACTTCAGGAGAATTACGGGCCTCGACAGCCAAGTCAGCGACTCACATTACAGCAGACAAGAGCTGAACGAATATCGAAATTTACAATACTTAGTTGAAAATAATAAGGGGTCATTATTATCATCATCATCACCATCATCATCATCAGCATTATAAACTACTTCTGCTGTTAAGCATGGTGGGGAGGAATAATTGGCGATCCAGGGTTTGCTGATTGCCACTGGCTATTGTCATGCCGTGAAGGCGTAGAGTGTCTTCACTGTTGTCGATCAGTGTTTTCCGCGGTCATCATCTTGCTCTTGTAGCTGATCTTCTGAAATGGGCCGCGACTCCAGAAAACATCATGGAAATCCCTGCCCTAAGGACTCGTAAGGTCTTTAGTGACGTGTGCATCCCAGGTTTGACAGGAAGCAAACTACAAATCTACATCAACAAATTCAAGGAAGTGCATAGATAGCATCATAATCATCATCATCCAGTAACACTACGTGTCGTTGAGTCACCAGTTTCTGTTGACTGTCTAGTCAGCTCTTTCCATCTTTAGCGGTCAGTTACGATGGATATAGATATAGGTACACAAAACTCGTTAAAATTATACACGACATGGCAGTATGGAAAAATATTTACAAACATGGGCTCACAGCAAAGGCGATTCGCCCCCGACAGAACACTGCCACCAATTTCAACAGCAACATAATGTACAACATGCACTAAAGGACCTGATTCTTATTCTTCCGTGTTCGCCATTAAAACCTTATATTGTGGGAGCTGCTTGGTCTCAAGGCATGGTGTCCGCCTCGAGTGTTGGAGGTTCTGGGTTCAATCCCCGGTAAGGGCTAGGTTTTTTTTACTATGACTCGGTCTTCTAGTAATTCCGCCTGGTCTCTGGGTAGTGAGATCGGACGCCCACGTTGAGCACTTAAAAACAATCCTATGGCAGTGGGAACTCGAAAAAGAGTAGTCTAACGGTGCTGCCTTGGCAAAATTTGGAGTTAAAAATATACTCAAAGTATTTCAGGATCCCCACCGGTGCTACAGAGCCTGGGCACTGTGCTGAGCTTCTTCAGACTTGAGTTAGAAGAACGAAGCACTTGTGGTTTACTACCCTTGTGCCATGATGTTAATCCGTTGTTAAAACCTCAAACCTTGTATTGTCAGGTAGAATGCGCCTTTCGCCCGAAACATCTGATTTTCCCAAACTCCGAATTAGTCTCCTTTTGAAACATTCCTATAAGGAGGCAGCCAGTGGATCTATTCGCCCCCCCCCCCTCATCCCCCCTCCCAGCCAAGGTTTAAGGTTGAGGTGTGCCCCACTGATAACCCTAGGCAGTCGTAATAAGCCATCCAACGAAAAATAAAAACTTTCTGAGAACAGGTCAATGTTCTTGTCCTGTCTTTATCTATATGGTCAAGCCATCGATGTCTGTAACTCTTTGTCTTGTCTTTGTTCTCTTACCATTAATTAGTATTGCCAGTCATCGCCTATTCCTCGAGTCTCTTCCTTCTCATATGTCCAAACACATTTACTGTGTTCGTCTCATTGCCCGAATCCGTTTACGGTTTTCATAAGAATGTGCAATCTGGTTTAGATATCAGTTGAAAAAAAACCAAACATAATAAAACTATGAAAATAATGTTAGAAAGCAAAGGTCAAGAATGAACACGGTAATATACAAAGATACACAAGTACAACATATACTGAACATGCAACAGTAGATTATACAGACGGGAAACACAAATCAACGCGGCAATAGGAATGACCAACATTACTGTCAAAACTATTTGAACATATATTACCATGCAGAGATTTAAACCAATACAATAAAAATTAACATTAGCAAGTGTGAGACAGTCGACGGCCTACACTGTCATGGAGGATAATATCTGGAAATAAACAGCTATAATAAACAGAATTGATAAATTATTGGGTGACAAGCCGCTATGTGAAAAGAGACCGAACCATCAGGTGGAGGGTGGGGGGTGGGGGGGGGGGAATGAGTAAACCCTCTTGCGCTGACCTTTGAAACGACAATGCTTCTATCACTCTATGCACCACCTACCCAATATCAGAATCTGAACTTCTTTCTCTCTACGTTCCCGCTCTTCGTCCAGCTGGTTGTCGATGCTCCTGCTGCGCGCCATGGCCGCCCTGTCCCCTTTGCTCATGTTTGTAAAGGGATCTGCAACAGAACCAAATAATGTATGTTATTATGAAAGTTTTGACAAGCAATATTCAAGAAGTAAGAGAAAGGCTCGCTTTAGCAATGCAGAGACTAGACACGAAGAACCTATGACACAGCACCTGCAAGTGAGTTACAGTCAAAATGGTGAGATCGTGCATCTTTTCCTTGGCAAGTTATAGGTTGGAGTCGTTGAATATTATTCAGTCATTGAACAAAACAATCGGAACACTTTAACTGAAATTCCAGAGCAAAATTCTTAGGATATTATAGACCGCGAAGAAGAAAAACACTGAATCCTGCATGATCTAAGAATCGAAGAGAACTGGCTCACAAACAGCATCCTGTCCCAAAAGCTAGGGTCATGTTAACCGTCAAGGTGGCATGTAGAGAACGGTGATGGGGCTACAGTTTCCGGAAAACGGAAAATTGACAGACCTTCGCGAAAATGGATACATGACACGGAAGATGTATTGACTATGAAAGCATGTATGGCTGGAAAATTGGCTAGATTAAAAAGAGCCTTTCGGGTGCGCTGTGGCGAGAGCAACCTTCTGTAAAGGATGATTATTCAAGACTCAATCACAATAACAAAGTGGTTAGTGGGTGTTTTTGGCAAATCATATGGCTAGGTTCACTCTCTAGCAGTTTTACTTTGAAAAAAAAATATTCAAAAATGAAGAGTTGTTGATCCAGCTGTTTTCTTTCTCTATCCCTTTTTCATTTTCTGAAACATCCAACATCTAGGATGTAGCTGCCTGCATGCGGTGCATTGTTTTATTCAGGCCCTACAAACTTCTGTAGAGTATGTTTCAATCTAACACTGCTTCATCCATTCATAAAGTAGATCTGTCTTTCTGTGTTGGTATGGAATCATGGTATGTTCGAAGGTTACAAGTGCTTTTCCTCAAGAGATGGTACTACTATATCTTGTTTTTGTTGTTCGTTCATGAAGTGACGAGGACTACTCTTTGTTCCATCCGTCACGAAACTATAGTTGAGTTCTGTGAGTCGGGAGGTGACTTAAAAGCCTAGTACGGATCTAGGGCAGTGGTTTTCAACCTGAGGTTCTCGACCTCTTTAGGTGTCGAACGACCCTTTCACAGGTGTCGCCTAAGACATCTGAAAACACATATTCACTAAAGTTTTGAAGTAGGGGTCGGCTTTGTGGCTAACTCGATGCGAACGCTTCGTAATGACGGGATGCCGGGTTCAATCCCAGCTGCGGGCCATGCGCCTTGCGTTGGTTTAGACAGTGGAATCAAGAAAGCCGACCATCCAGAAAGCAATGGCAAACTACTGGACGTAAATATTTGCCTACATACACAACACAACAGCCAGGGGCTGTTGGGGTTGGTTCTGCAACGCTCTGTAAAGGATACGCAACTAACTTTATAAAGTAGGGACGAAAATAATGTTATCGTTGGAGGGGGGGATGGCGGGGGTGTTACAACACCATGAGGAACTATATAAAAGTCGAGTGCCACTGATGTAGGGCCATGAGGGCAGGGAACAGTATCTGTAGGTAAAGGGCCGGTTAGACGGGTCTTTCTAGCCTGCTTGCGCTGATCATCCACCCTTTACTTGAAGCCTCGCAAGTCGCCGCCCCTCTTAGGACAGACGTTCGCCATGTAGTCCGGTCTTGTGCAGCAACCTCCCAAGTGTCAGGGTCTATATTTAAGGCTTCAAATGATGTCTTTAGCGTGTCCTTGAAGCGGTGTGGTGGACCGATGTTTGTATCGTTGTTTTAATCAAGAAGGTAATCGAATGCCCAGTCCCAAAAGATAATAGTCATCCTGTAGATGAACATGTGGGGCTTTTTGCTTATGGTTACTAGCATTTTGTGATAATTGTTTATAATGTGTGTGTTTGTGAGAGTTTACTTGTTTTTAAACTGAAAAAACTAAACGACCCGTTTAACGTTATTTGGACACTGGACATATTGTGCTAGGCTCATTCGATTGACGATTTTTTAGTTAACATCATCCAGACCGTCTTTACATTTCTGCCTTCTCATTGTATGCTGGGTCGACTTGAAAACACTATGTGAAATAAAAATCAAACCCTTCCTGAAGATTTTAACCCAAGACCGGCAGTCAAGCCAATAACCACTTGGCTACCACGGCTCCTAATGTTGATAGTATTTAACTGGGTATAGGGCGTTGTGCCCCATCGCCTATGTTGAAAGGTTTATCTGGTTCCCAGAGAGGAGGCTTGCGATTGGCTAGAAAGCTGGGCTCTCATCCGGAAGACCTGTGTTCTAACCCACGCTAAAGTGATCGGAGTCCCCCCCCCCCCCCCCTTCCCCTTTCTGTCAGGTTTGACACACACCCAAATAAAAAGCAGTCTAAGCTGCATAGTTCTTGGCGATTGTACTAAATCCTCAGACTCTATTATCCCTACCACACTCCCTTATGTCCTCTTTATTATACACCACTCTAAAAGATGGTAAATGCAGACAGGAACGATTTACACCACTCTAAAAGGTAGTAAATATATACAGTAATAATTTACACCACCTTAAAAGCTGGTGAGTACCCACAGTAACTATTCACACCACTCTAAAAGCTGGTAAATACAGACAGTAACTATTCAATAACGAACTTTAATCATGAAGAAGATATTACAGAATTACTCTTCGCCGACGACCAGGTACTCATAGCAGAAATACGGAATGCCGACAGATCCACCTAAATCAAATTAGTAACAAAGGGGAGGAATATAATATGAAAATAAACACTACGAAGACAGAGACAATGATGATAGGAAGACATAGAGATAATTTAGAAATTAAATTAAAATACAACACCCCGAGACAGAGGAATTTATGTATTTGGGAGCAATTTTTACATCCGATGAAAACTGGACAGAGTAATTAGCTCCAGGTGTGCCAAAGCTAATCAAGTAACGGGTCAACTATCTCCCCCGTTGACACACAAGCAGATACCACCGAGTACTAAAGTGAATCTTATCAGAACTATTGTTTGGCCAACACTATGCTATCAGTCCCAAACGTGGACACTTAAATCCTCCAATGAACGTAAAATTGTGACAACAGAGATGAAATGCCTTAGAAGAGTTGCAGTAGTTTCAAGGAAATGCAGAATACGAAATCATGAAATCAGACGAATGCTAGGAATAAAGCCAGTCTTACAGGTCACCAAAGAACAACAAATGAAGTGGTTTGGACACCTAACAAGAATGCCCTGGTGCTATCCGCCACAGCGAGCCACACTAAAACGTTACAACGGGTATAGAGCGAATGGAAGACCTCGGAAAATATGGAGTGATGGCATTAAGAACAGCCTTACAGAAATGAACATCAGTCTTAGTAGTGCTCTTGACAGAGCTCATCAACTAATGTTACATCTGCCCCCGACACTTTGCTGAGGTAGGAGGTGGAAGAGAAGAAAAAGAAGAACTATTCAATTCATCTTATTAGGTGATTAATACAGACAGTAATTATGTTTCTTTCGCGGGGGGGGGGGGGGTTGTGACTATTTATGTTAAAATATACTATAAAACAAATGATTAACTTAATAGAGGCAACATATACGGACATGATTTTTGAGTTCTTTATAAGGTAAAGAAACTAACAGATACATTTGAATTAAGAAAAGGTGCGCGACAGGGATGTCTTTTCTGACCTCTACTGTTTTTACTGGCAATAAATTAGATTGCTTAAGAGTTACGAACGCGCTTCTAATGCCGGGGTGCCGGGCTCGATCCCAGCTGCGGACAATATGTATTGTGTTGGTTTCAACAGAGGTACCGAGAGCTGACCGTGCAGTAGGCAATGGCAAATTACTGAACGTAAAATATGCCTTGAAAAACCACAACAACCAAACAAAATGCTAGGGTTGGTTCTGCAACGTCTTGTAAAGGATACGCAACTAACTACAGATTCGATTATGAAGACAGAACAGCTACCGCTAGTATGGAATTCAGTAAACCTTTATTTACAGAACAGTTTGACAACCTGGACTTCGCTGATGATTTTCCTCTCCTATTTAAGTCACAAAATAAGAGGCAAGATAAACTAAACATACATAATGAGAGATCGCAATAGCTGGCTCTAAAATTACATAACAAAATGAAGAAAAAAAAAGTGATGAGAATAAAACAGTCAATTAAAAAAAATATCAAATTTCTCTTTTGCGATATACCATTACAAGACGTGTAGTCATACACATAATTAGGCGGTTATGTGGATTAAGGCAGAGATGCTAACAGATGAATACAAAAGACGAAAGGAGTTTTTATAGCAATTTGGAATATGTGGAAGTCTAAGGAAAATAAAACTAGTGCTAGACATAAATTGTAAATCTCTAAAGTTGAATCAGCACTGTCTCATGGAGCTGAATCACAGTGAACGACTAAAACAAATAAACTACCAATATTTATTAACTGGTGGCTGTGCAGATAGAGGGAAATAAATGGTTCAATGGTATCACTAATGTGTAGCTCTGAGACAGAATTAAACAAATTATGTTGAACAGAGAGCTAAAGAAAAGACGCTGGTGATGGATAGGACACACGGTGAGAAAACCTGAGAACAATATAACTAACATGTCTTTGCACTGAATCCCACAGGGACATAGAAATAGAGGCAGGCAAAGAGATATATGGAGAATCGAGCTAGAAAGTACAGTTAAAGGGATTAAAAAGAAATGAGGTGAGCTACCTGCGATGTCAAAGAACAGTACAACTTGGCGTAAGTTAGATGTGGGCCTATGCTCCACTGGGGGTGGAAGGGAAGAAGAAAAAGCAGACCCTGAAGATATACAATCTACTTTAGATAACTAGAACAGAGTCCATAATATTCCTGAAGATATACAATCTACTTTAAATAACTAGAAAAGAGTCCATAATATTTCCCTCGAAGTCGGAATGCATCTGCCTGAAAAAAGAGGTACCAACAATATGTGTCTAAATAAATCAGATTTGTAAAACAGATGTGCACGCAGAATTTAAGTTGTCGAACAAGTTCAAAGTCCAGAAAGGGACGAACAACCGGAACTTTCGCTGGATCTTATAGCTGGTGAACGCCAAGAAGAGGAATCGATAATATACTCAATCTTTCTCAGCAGTTGTGGCACTTTAAACAGAAGGTTCTTGTAGCAAACTAATGTACGGTATACTACAAAATGACTTTTCGTGTTATTCCACAACACACAGGTGTTCACTCGTTTAGACCCAAACAGTTGCTATTACTAAATTGTTGACCACAAAACATGTGTGCATTATCTGAGTTCAATCTCTGAGTGGGCATAAGTTAATCCAGTTATTGAGCAGTTACCGAAGTTCGATTCACGAGGGGGTGGAGGGGGGGGGTAGGGCGTTCTCTGACGGTACCAGAATCACACCGTGGAAGAGATTGGGACCTCAACACGTAACATTCCTATAGTTAGCAGTTGGTACACTGCAGACAGCCTCAGTTGTGAAGACGGCACATTAAGAAAACACAATGGATTGATAGAAACATAAGATAAAAGAAGTTAAGAAACATATACGATTTGTCAAATCACCAGTCAACGTCTACGGAGTTGATTGATACCACGAGAGTTAGGATGCTTGTCATCAATAATCAAGTTGCTACGGATAACTCCATTCGTGAGTTCTGGTCTATTGTCAGTGTCGCCATTACTTATTTAGCTCAAGCCTAACGGCTCTCTCAGTTGACTTCTGTTATAGGGATTTAGTGTTGCCAGAGTCCGTTTTCCTATTATCTGTATGCCAAATGGCCATTGTAGGAATATCTATCAAAACAACTGGCAGATGGTTCTCTTTCATTTCTTTGTCACAGTTTAACATTCCCATTTATCTGACTCTCAAGCTTTCCTGATGCAGCTTTTTATCGATGTGTTTTGTGATATGATATTAAAATGTTTATAATTGTTCTTGAAAAAAAAAATTGTTTTTTGAGTTCAAGTTTTCAAAATGAGTGAGCATAAAAACATGAACATTAGTTTAGAAAGTGATCATAAAGAGAAAAAAAGAAAACGAAATATAAGGTAAGCCAGTTAATCTCTCTCTCTCTCTCTCTCTCTCTCTCTCTCTCTCTCTCTCTCTCTCTCTCTCTCTCTCTCTCTCTCTCTCACACACACACACACACACACATATACACGCACATACACGCACATACACACATCAGTTACACACACACACTACAAATATTTGTGTTTAAAATTTTTTAACCTGGCTTTTTTTTTTTTTTTCAAAATAAAAATTTGGTTTGTTTTGGTACTTTCCCCAAGAAAATTTAACAGCCCTGGTACCGAGGTTTTTTTTTTTAAGGCGGTGGCGTGGTGATGTGGGAGGAGGGAATGTCTCGCACTGTGTCGTAATGCCGTTCTTTTATCTGATTTCCTCTTCGGTGTTTATAACTGCTAGAAAAACAGCGGTCCATTATTGCAGTAGACGTACGTACGGTCTAGTCGTTCGTGCATTGTCGACCTTTTCTAGCTTCAAGCAAAGGTCAATGTGCCCGCCAAAAATATACATCAAACACTTTTATTGATTTAAAAATGCCATGGGAGGGTAACTGAACGTACCTTTTTAATGGCACATTTATAATTTAAGAGAATCATCAAAGAGATGGGAACCTTTCATGTATACATCTGATTCTTTTTTATCAATACAGAGAAGTACAATACGTCATATTGAGCCGATATTTCAAATTGTCGTCTGCACAATAATATGCACTTTCAACTGGAGAGTAAAGACCTGAGGGAACGGGATCAATGAGCATATACAACAATACGGATGATGTTTCACTGCTTGTAAAATTACCGATAGAATAAAGTAATGCTTGATTCAAGAGTGGGTGCGGCTTCATCGATTCAGTTTTATCGACTGGGTAAAGTTGATATGCTGAAAATTGTATTTTTATAAAGGACTAGATTTAATTGCCCGGTTTCGCTCGCTATAGGGAGAGGATGTCTTATTCTCCCGCCCCTTACTCGGTCTTTGCTGCTGTCATCTATGTAGGCACAGTGGAAATAGGGGGTCTAACTAAGACTTTATATTTAATATTTCGTCTTCTGCTTCATCTTTGTCCTCACCGCTGTCGTATCTTTGGTCATTTCCTCTAATAAGGCATTACCTTAATAATAACACAGTATTTAACAGTTTGGGAGACAGATAAATGTCTCAGACGCATATTGATATGTGGCTTCAAGGAAGAAAACAACGGAATATAATTAGTTTTCTCGAAAAGTATTGTTTAAAGGGTAGGAATAGGCCAAATAGTCAAAGGGATATAGCTCCAGCGGAAGTTTACTTTTGCTGATTGTGGAAATAAATAGAGAAATAAACAATAACCTGGGTAGCCAATGTGACTGTTAAATTAAATATTGCACTCATAATGTTAAATGAAAATTCAACTTCTGTACTGGTAACAGTTAAGGAGGAGTTAACATAATATTAATTTAAAAAACATACACAAAAAAGAGTTTGTGATTTATAGTATAGATAAAAAACTACCTTATTTATATTTTAGTCCATAATTACAATCTGCCATCGTTTTATGATGAAATTTTTTGTTATTTGAAGCCCCACCCTGGCTCTTGCCAGGGGCCACAATATAGCCAGGCCATAAATATGGCCAGCTGGCTGAACGCGGCTTCTGTGACCTCTCTACGGTTACCCTCATCCACGTGGTGGCACATTGTGTCATCGGGTGTTTATCGCTTGTGTGATGTCCTGGTTGGGTAGAAAGTCAGTCAGTCAGATGCTTTCATATATATATATATATATATATATATATATATATATATATATATATATATATATATATATATATATATATATATATATATATATATATATATATATATATATATAAAAGGTGAGGCCCGCTAGTCTGTTGTTCACGCTGGGGCTAACAAGCACACTGTAACAAACAATCCAAAGCAAAACTACTTCAAATGTAATTGTACCGCTAGTCATCCACTTGTGGAATTCTTTTTATCGTTATTTGAAGCCCCACCCTGGCTTTTGCTGGGTGCCCTAAATATAACTGGGCTACTTTTGTGGTCATAACGGCTGAAAGGAGTTTTTGGGACCACTGCACGGGTGATCCTCATCGGCATAGGTGGCACTTTGTGTCACTGGGTTTTTGCCGCTTGTGTGATGTCCTGGTTGGGTACAAATTACATACCAACCTATATTTCAGTTAGTTGAAGCTTGTCTTCCTCGTATGGGATGTAATTTTCAGTAATTTTGAAACCCCACCCTGGCTTTTGCCGGTGGCCCTACGTATAGTCGGGCCTTAAATATGGCCTAACGGCTGAACAGGGTTTCTGTTACCTCTCCACAGGTTATCCTCATCCACATGGTTGAACTTTGTGTCACCAGGTGTTTTATCGATTGTGTGATGTCCTGGTGGGTACAACCTAACTACCTACCTTTCATTTAGTTATTCTCTGTCCTCTCCCTAGAGGGATCCAAATTTTCGTTATTTTGAAGCGCCACCCTGTCTGTTGCCAGGGGTCACAAATTATAGCCTTACGGTTAAAAGGGGTTTTCGGTTATTCCTTACGTCCTTCTTAGGACGTTATTTTTTGTTTTTTGAAGCCCCACTCTGGCTTTTGCCAGGGGCCGCAATATAGGCAGGTCATACATATGGCCAAATGTCTGAACGCGGTTTCTGGGACCTCTCCACGGTGATCCTCATCCGCATGGTGGCACTTTGTGTCATCGGGTGTTTGTCGCTTGTGTGATGTCCTGGTGGGGTAAAAAGCCAATCCAATCAATCCTCTCCACGGGTGATCCTCATCCACATAGTGGCACCGGATGTTAATCGCTCAGTGTGATGTCCTGGTGGGGTAAAATGTACTTACTTTCTTACTTTTAGTCAGTAATTGCCTACCTGTTAACTGTCTTCCCCCTATGGGGTGCAAATTTGTTTTTTTTTGTGTGTGTGTGTGTGTTAATTTAAAGCCCCACCCCGACACCACAAAATGTCATAGCCACACATCTGGTGTGAGCTATTCAGCAGCTGATCAATACATAATTATGATAATCTACACAATAATTTGTTAGTGCCATCTGCTACAAAAACGCTGCTTCTAGTTGTCAAGACGCTGGATAGGACACACGTTGAGAATGTCTGAGAACAATACAACTAGAAAGTCTTTGTACTGGAACCCCCACCAAAAAACACACACAAACACATTTAGAAGGGAGCTAGAGAGACAAGTTAGAAAAACCGGGAGGGCATGGGGTGAGCTGCGTGCAATGGCGAAGAATAGAACTACTTGGCGTGAGTTGATTAGGGGCCTATGCTCCGTTGGGGGATAGAAGGCAGAAGAAAAAAGTGGAGAGATTTTAACGTGCGAAGCATGCATAAGCATTTCCTATTTATTGCCCTTACCAAACAGTCTGAACGGTCACTTTATATTTATGTTTATTCAACATAAGTGCTCTGTTCTACTTCTAACTCAAACATGAGTCTGAAGAATCTCAGCGCAGTGCACAAACTCCGTTGCACCGGCGAGGATCCTGAAATACTTTGGCAGATTTTAAACTCCAGACTCGAAGGTGGATGTCATACCTGGAGACCACTCAGCCCCACCCAGTCGCACCATTCCCCTATCATTGGAGGGCGGGTGTGTGTTTATGATGGAAATTATTGCTTTGTGTGTGTGTGTAAAATATCGTAATTCAAACAGGCAACTTTGTGAGACTAACCACGTGCGTTTGGGCAAGATGGACTATGTAGAGGCAGTCATGTGGGATAAATAAAATGCACGCGCACGTCTTTCATTTAACTGGCCGGACATTGACGAGGCTGCTGTCTTCAGTTAAGCGATTTTATGTCTGTACAAGTGGTTTTGTTGGTTTATGTAATGTAGCCAGGACGTTCACTTTCTGTCTGTGTTTGTCATATTAAGTTGTGAAACTCGCTGGTCTGCTTTTCGTTTAATTATATATATTTTTAAATGATACATAGGAATAACGGTATAGTCTAGCGTTTATAGGTATTGTTTGAATACCAATATATTTATGCTGTATTGCTTGGTAATAGGCTAATATATGAATGCTGTATACTTCATATACTTTTCGTTAGGTTTTTTATCTTTCCTTAATATATTAATGCTACATTATTTGGTTTGAATACCAGTACAACTAACGTAGCATGGCTTGATTTGTAAATCAGTACTTCGGTGTTGCATTGCTTGGTTTATAAATTAATAATGCTTTAACTATTTCAGTTCCCCGACTTTGCTGAGTTCAGCAGTGCCTTTGCTTAAGTTTGTATATCATAGAAAAAAAAAAATTGTTAGTCTTGTAGAGCTGGGGGAAAATACACCCTTGGAAAAAAAGGTTTTATATTAACAATTGGAAAATAAGGAGTTATAACAAAAGAATGGGATCGGAAATGTGTGTTTTTTTTAAAATAATTTGTACCTATATATACATTAAATTAATGTAGCATTACGTAATTGGTAAATCAATTCATTAATGTAATGTTCCCTGGTTTGCTATGATTTCTAAAAAAAAAAAAAAAAAAGCTTTGCTTTAGGAAATTTTCGATCAGCTTTTCTACACTCTTTAAAAAAACCCAGTATAAATGATGATATTCATATAAAGATACAGGTGCTTTGCTGGGAAAAAATAGTCACGGTCAACTAGCATCCCCGAAGGGTAAGCTTTAGGTTATAATTGTGACTAGGTTATATGCCTAAGGCCGTCATCGCAACTACCCTTACTTGCTTTGTCATCGTTCTCTTCCCCAGTTCGTTTTTGTGATTTGCCTGGCCTGGGAGCCTCATCGTCAGATCTTTGAGTTTCATTTTTGGCTTCCATGATAAATTTCTTGGGATAGTAATGTAACAGTCCTCCTTTCAAACAGCGTAAAGGGAATAGAACATTTAATATTGTCTGTCCAAAAGCACAATGAAGATTACAATCTGTTGTTTTTTTTATTTAAAGAAAACGAAAACAATATCCACAGATAAAACTGGCTGTCACCAAAAGACAACAATACATGGTGAAGAAATTGAAAATGTCACAAACTTTGAATATCTAGGCTCTATAATAAATAGCAGTGGAGACTGTTTGACAGAAATTAAAAGGAGGATGGCCATAGCAATGCAAAGTTTGAACAGCATTAAAAGTCTAAGGTTAAGCCCCGTCAAGGAGATCAAAATAAGACATTTGGAGAGCATGCATCTTCCCTGTGGCAGTATTCGGATATGAGCCGTGTACTATCTCCCAGTCCTTGAGAAAGAGAATAGGGGCTTTTGAGCTGAAATGTTATAGAAAGATTCTCAGAATATCTTTGACAAAGAAGAGGAGAAATACTGACATCTGGAAAGATCTGAACATCAAGGGAGATTGGCTAATAAACAGCATCCTGTCTCGGAAGCTAAACTATTTTGGTTATAATAAGCGCCACGACGGATTGGAAAAAAATACTAGCAGACGTCATGGTACCAGGGAGGAGAGGCAGGGGCCGACCAACACGAAGATGAGCACAGGAAATAAGTGACTTCTTGAGTGTGAAAGTGCATGAGGCGGAAGATCTGGCGAGAGACCGAGTATCTTTCATGCAGACCTTGATGAAAGCGACGATCTCTAAAGGACCTGCTACATGATGATGATGA